TATAATATATATACTTACGCTATATTATGCACTAAGTATAAGTGTACTAGGTAATACCGTATCATTTCAGCATCATTCTCTACCAAAAAATATATTTTACCTTTAATTCTTTTTAAGAGCATTTCCATACTTTTGTCGGTCAAATCATTGTCTGAATCCGAAATAATATCACCAATATCATATTAAGCTTGTACGGATCAGAATTGGAAGAAAGTTTAGAACAAAACTTCCTATAATCTTTGTCATCATAGAGTCTTATGATCCCCGCTTTATGGGAACTGTCATGACCAACGGAAAACATTCCGTCTTCATCAACGTTGTCACTATCAATCAAACTTCTTTTTCTCTTGGAAGGTGAAATAGAGAATTCTTCTATAACCTCTTTTATCTACTTAGGAAATGTTAAATCCTACCTATATCATCACTATTTTGAAACAGATGTCGTTGTCTTCTCATTATAATTATAGCTATAGAGATCAACAATTGATCAAAGAGACACCCTGTCAGGTACTGTATCCAAGTTATTCTCTGTATCCAAGTTCATCTCGAGTAATAGTACCACGAGGATAATCACCAAAGCCACCAGACAGCTTTATGATGCCAATGAAGCAAGATGAGCTATTCAATGAAACTCGTATTGTAAAGAAGAAGAAAGAGACTGATTCAGAAAGGAGGGTCGAACCTCGACTATATACATGTAAGTTTTTTACTTTTCATTAAGTATTTTGATTTACTTTTATATAAATTTTGAAATACTAATTCAATATATATAATTTTTCATATAGGTTCGCTTCACATGCAGCTGACGTGGGGGAATTCATACGCAGTCAACCACCTAATGAATCNGTATAATTTTTTATATAGGTTCGCTTCACATGCAGCTGACGTGGGAGAATTCATACGCAGTCAACCACCTAATGAATCGGGCGAGGCAATCCAACTTTCGGACGAGGATGCTGAAAGAACACTCCTTGAGTACTTTATCTTCTCTTAAACAGTTTTTTATTTTTTTATTTTTACACGAGTCTCTTGATTTATGTGTTGAAGTTTACATGTAAGGGACATACATAGTAAAGCTCTAATATATAAATAAGTAAAATATAAAATTTATTCCCTCTAGCTAATTCCTCAATTTAACACATCATCTAGCACTTGATAAACCTTCTCCTGGATTTCTTCTGATGTCTTTGCTGTCATGCATACATATATGATTATATATATTTTGATATTTTGATTTGGTAGGTCCGATCCTGAATCATTTTGCAATTGGACCCACTGCTTTTTCCTTTGCCTCCTCGTGAACGTACTACAGATTTATCCTACATTAGTACTACTAGGAACTCTCAAGATCCAATATAAATCATTCTTTGCTTCATATTAGGGTCCGATTAAATCCGGATTTGTGCCGGAAAATTTCACATTAGGATAAAGCGCTTCCTAATAAAGGCGACTCCATACACAGGGGATCGAACCCAAAACCTCTGGTTAAGGACGAAGGAGTACTTATCACTCTACCACAATCCCAGTTGGTCAATATAAATCATTCCTCATAGCATACACATTGAAATTTGGAGCTTTTCCTCATTGTTCATGTTTTCTCTTTTTCAATTAGGTGAAACAATTTCTTTTACTGAGAAACACTTTTAAAAGTTTGCCAAACACTAATTATTGCTCAAAAGTACTTTTCAAATTAATTAACCAAATACAAATTACTTCTTACCAAAAATATTTTTTTAAAAACGCTTTTCAAAATAAGTAGATTTTAGAAGCTTGGCTAAACATGCTATAACACCACATGATATTAGACAATCTCTCTCGCAAATTTATCTCATATATATATATATATATATATATATATCGTGTGCATTTGTATAATATATGTTGGCCATACACATTTGCCGCTGCTTAATTTTACATTTTGCAGTATGATGACTTTCCACTTATAGAAGGAATATTCGTTGTTTTTCCATATTTAGCCGCCACATCTTTTTTTCCTTTTGTTGTCTCTTGAAGAGATAATCATGAAAAACTCATAAAGTGCTATTGCAATTATATGTCTATTGTATGAAAAGGATATTCCTTATAAAAAAATAGGGTTTCTATTGCAATTAGAGAAGTCAATAAAAGACAATAGTTTGATCAGATTGTTTATCAACAACACTTTTATTGCAGGGTTGAACAGAAAATTACAGGAAAAGCTTTAAAGTGACAATTTGTGGCATATTAATCACGTTTAGTAACAAGATGTAGTAGCAAAACTTATTCTTGTCCTTTTTTTTTTGTTGAGAAACTAGGATTGAAATCATGTGGTAAAGTCAATTTGATCATCAAAGTTCTGAAAGTGAATAACTATATATATTCCCGTATTGATATGAAATTGCGTAGAAACAGTCTCTGCGTAATATAGACTCTTGTAGTCCAGTTTTTCGTCGAACCCTGCGTATAGCGAAAACTTAGTGCATCAGACCGTTGTCTCATTGATTTGAAATCTAGAAGAAGACATGCATGATGTTATTATAGAAACTTATAATTTTACGTCTCTACTCACTTAGCTAGCTGGCGTTTCTCCCTTTTAACCCAGCTGGGAAAGTTTCGTAAAAATCATCTCTCTTTCACCATTAAATATAGAAAGGAGTGCACAATAGTCAGAAATTTCAGAACGGGATTTTGTTTTAAAAAAATAGTTTAGGTTGAATGATACGAAAATGAAATGAAAGGAAAGGGAATTATATGGTTGAATGATAAAAGAAGGATAATTTAAATAGTACTCCTTACCTCCCAATTGATGCAGACACTCTTTTTTGTAGTCAGTTCCCAAAGAATAATATTTTTATATTTATAATAATTCAACTTTTTAATTTTTTTTTATTCTTAATGAGACGCAAATTTTTATAATTTGTTTTATACCACAAATTTGAAAAGTTTTTTTTTTTTTTTTAAATTTCTTGTGCACCTTCACATAAATTGCGACTGAAGGAGTAACTTTGAGGGGACCATGCATGTCTGTTAGGGAATTAATCAATGACTCAATCATGTCATGGTAAATAGATAAAGTTGCACTTAATTAGTACTCCTTCCGTCTTATATTATGTGTCGAATTTTTCTTTTACACACTCATTAAGAAATATTCCCTTCGATCCAAAATAAGTCATTTTTTGGTCTTTTTTTTGTGGTCCAAAATAAGTAATTTTTCCAGATTTCAAGAATGAATTAATTATTTTTTTCCTACATTGCCCTTGGAGTAAATAGTGTTGGAGAATGTGTTAGGAGTATTTATATGAAGAAATAATAAAGGTTAATATGGTCTATTTTATTGCTAATTAATGTTAAAAGTTAGATTTCTTAATCTGTGTGAAAACAACTAAAATAAATAACTTATTTTGGACCGGAGGAAGTATTAATTAGGAAATGGATTAGACTATTCTACCCTTATTAATATCTTAAAATATAATCTTTCTTTATTGATTATTTATTCTATTTATGTATTATCTCCATCTTCAAAAATAATTATTACTAAAGGTAAAAAAGAAAAAAAATAATTAATTTTTGTCTTGAACTTAAAAAATAACAAATAATTTAAAATAACTATTTTTAGTAATTACGACCGTTAAATATGAGACGAAATGAATATAAGAGAGGGGTCTACTAGTACCAATGAATGATAATATTATACTATATATGCAATTCAAAGTCTCCATCTCTCCTTTCTTCTCTGTCTTTCCGTCTCTTTCAATACTCTTCAAATACAAATCAAACTCTCTTTTTAGATCTATATGTTGATTTTTTTGAGCTACTTTTTGAGTGAATGAAAAAGTTGGTGCAATTAGGCAAAAGTTCTTTTCTTTTTAAATAATATATTGTTGAAAGGCAAAATAGTACTATAGGATAAAGAATTATGAGATATTTATTGGTAGGGAAGAGAACAATAGAAAAGACAGAAATTGCACGTCAGACTTAGCAATAGCTCGCTGGAGTGGTCTAATTCCATCTTGTGGAGAGAGAGAGGATTGCTGAGTTGATATCCTCTTCTCATCCACACCTCTCTCTCTCTAATCTTTTCTCTAGTATCCATTTCACCATATCATCTCGCTCGATTTCCAAAAGAAAAAGAACCACTGTTTTTTATTATCCAGTTCTATATTGAAAACGAGCAGTTTATCCCTCGAGGAGAGACTTTGTTTCACTCCCCTTAAAGAAAGCAAGTTTTCGGTTACGTAGAAAATAGATTGTCTTTTTAGGTTTGTTTTGGTCTTTAGATCTAGCATACATATATCCTCTCAAACTCTACTTCTTTGTTTTAGTTTTAAGCAAAAAGTCTTAGCTAGCTGGATGATGAAAGGTTTGATGAATAATATTCAACAAACACAACAACATGTTCATATAGTGGAGGAAAACATGTCCAATTTAACTTCTGCATCTGGTGATCAAGCAAGTATATCAGCTTCTTCCAACATGAATGATACTACTACTGGAAGCTTTTTCATTTCCCAGAATCAAAATCCACAACAACAACAAATCAAGAAAAAGAGAAACCAAGCTGGCAATCCAGGTAGGGGCGGATATATAGGGGAGATTATGGGGCACGTGAACCTATAGTCCCTCCTCAAAATTAGACATTTTAATTGTATATTTTCTAAAATTAGTATAATATTAACTGTTGAATAGTGTACTTGATTAAAGGTCAAGTTATTTACCAAGAAGAATAGTGATCAATTTTAAAGAGTACTTGGTGTAACTGGTAAAGTTGTTGTCATGTCACTAGGATGTCACGGGTTTGAACCGTGGAAACAGCCTCTTGCAGAAATGCCTACATACAATAGATACTTATGCTCCAGCCTTTCCTCGGACTCCCCGCATAGCGGGAGTTTAGTGCACCGGGCTGCTCTTTAATAATTTTCACTTAATATATTTTTTTCCTCCTTTTTGTTTATACTGCACTCATGTAAAAAAATCCTAGATCCGCCTCTGTTATCCAGGTCTTATCACTCTTTATGAAATTAAAACTTGATTTGTTTTTTACATTCAATTTGTTTTGACGTTCAAACTCTTTGAATGGTATAATTATAAGATCTGCATACACACTAACTTTCACCGTTGTTATCGTAAAAGTTTAACGAGCTAGACAAAGTCCATTTAAACTCAAGATTTCTATGTTGAACTGTGTTACCTTCTTATAATCTACAATTATCTCAACACAAAGTCGTCATTTTTTTTGGAACAGATCCTGAAGCAGAAGTGATAGCTTTGTCACCAAAGACACTACTAGCAACCAATAGATTCTTTTGTGAAATCTGCAACAAAGGGTTTAAAAGAGATCAGAATCTGCAACTCCATAGAAGAGGGCACAATTTGCCATGGAAACTAAAGCAAAGAACAAATAAAGAAGTAATAAAAAAGAAGGTTTATGTTTGTCCAGAGCCCAGTTGTGTACACCATGATTCCACCAGGGCATTAGGTGACTTAACTGGAATCAAGAAACACTTTAGCAGAAAGCATGGTGAAAAAAAATGGAAATGTGAGAAATGTTCAAAGCGTTATGCTGTTCAATCTGATTGCAAAGCTCACTCCAAAACTTGTGGCACTAGAGAATACAGATGTGAATGTGGTACTCTTTTTTCAAGGTAATTAACCAATAAAAATAAACATAATTATATTTTGCTACAGAAGTATGAACACGAGTTCATCTTTTCTTTCTACTTTTTATTTATTTATTATTATTTGATGTATGGTACATGCATTGGACTGATTAAATTTGGATTCGCCCCACAAAATTGCATATTTGGGCTAATTAAAGTGCTACGTACCAAAAGGCGACTTCATATTTCGGGTTCGAATTCAAAACCTCTAATTAAGAATAACAAATTAGTTACCACTCAACTATAAACCTAATTAGTCTCTTTTCTTTCTACCGTTTGTAATTCTTTTTTTTTTATTTATTATTTGGGGTCTAAGTGCCTAGCCTTGGTGAGTAAAGTGATAATGGATTATTGTGGTGGATTATTCTGTGGAATGATTAATCATAGTATAATATATCAGTATCATATTTCCACTCATTCCCATAAGGGGACAAAACTAATAACACCAACTATTGGTCATTAGCCCATGTTATTAGGAGTATGAAAGTTTGTGTTTTTTGGTGACAAATAGGATCAGGGGCGGAGCTAGAGTGTTCCGAGCGGGTTCGGTTGAAATCAGTAGCTTTGGTTTGAACCATGTATTTATATGTATTATAAAATTCATTCAATATATATAAATCATTAATTTAGAACTTAGTAGCTTAAAACGATTAGAATCGCGAACCCATAAACTTGAAATCATGTCTCCGCCTCCGACTATCAGTGTTTTTTTTTTTAGCTATTTAGCACTTAAATTTTTATCATCCTCTTTTCTTGTTTATTATTTCAGACGGGATAGTTTTATCACACACAGAGCTTTCTGCGATACTTTAGCTGTGGAGAGTGCAAGATCAGCAATAACTGGAGGAAATCCAATAATTAGTTTCTCATCCCAAGCAGCTGGTAGTACTTCAACATCTCATATGAATCAGCTCCAGTTTCAAACGCCCCAGTATGTTAATAACAGCCATGAATTCACAGCTGCTGCGGCATTTTCTATGAAAAAGGAGCAGCCAAATTATGATTTCAATCATCTAAGACATAATACTGAAATTCCTCAATGGCTAATGTCTTGCCAACCATTTGTTGGAGCTGGTCCTGGTCCACCCTCATCAGTGCCTGCTGACTTTAGCTCATCAGTATTTCAAGCCACTAGGTTAAATCAAGAATACACGCAGAGCCACCAAGATTTGACGTCAACTGATTTCCATGAGAACCCAAACCCTAATTTTGGAGGTAATCAACTGTTTGATATCTCATCTAAATGTTTATATTGTTCGAGAGATCATATTTTTTGATTACTTATTTATATTATGTCGACACAAATAATAAGTAACATAATAAGATAAATAATTTACTTCAGAAATCCCTCATGGAATCGCTTACTATTTTTGAATTCTAAAAAAGAGATAAAAATAACTGGGGATTTTATGTGATATATTAGTATTCTAAATCTAAGTTGGTAGTCAAAATATTCGATTCAAGTACACAAAGAAATGGTTAAATAATTTTTTTTTGTTTAAAGTTCAATTCTTTCAAAGGGCACTATAAACGTTCTCATGTGTAGGTTTGATTCTTTTTTATGGACCAAACCCGTGGAATTTTTTTTATCATGTTGAGTTGTGTTTCAGTGTGATAAATTCATCCAAATTTACAAGTTAGAGTACACTTTTATTTAGTATCCAATTCATAATTTATATATTTGATAATTACACACTTTTATTTATTTAATTATGTATTCAAGCAGCGGTCTCCCCACACATTTCTGCGACTGCATTGCTGCAGAAAGCAGCTGAGTTGAGTGCTACAATGAGTAACAAAGCAAATTCTGTCTCTGCATCATCTCCTGCACACAATACAGACCCAGCTGCCATTCTGCTGAGACAATTACCCCACCAAACTCACGTGTCTGTTACTACTGATTCTGCAGCAGCTGTAGGTAACAAACAAACTGATCAGTTTGGACTGAATTTGTCTTCACGTGAATTTGAGCTGACAAATAATACTGGCCTAATTATCAATACCTTAGGCAACTCATATGGGAATAAAGCTGCTGCAGCTACAGTACCATCTTTTTCTTTTACTAATGCTACTGGGTTTGAAGGGTCAACGTTTGAAGATGCATTTGGTGGGTTTGGCAGTTTGAATTCAAAGAAAGATAATGACTTCAACGGAACTACACTCTCAGAAACAACCAGTGGCATTAATGACGATATTATGACAAAGGATTTCTTGGGTCTAAGACCTCTTTCTCACAACGATATTTTCAATATAGCTGGTCTAGTTAATACTACTACTTCTAGTAGTGAACATGATCAGTTTCAAAATCATAAAACATGGCAAAGTTAGCTTAGAATGTTATTACTATTTATTTTGCAAATGACATTTTACCTTTCTTTTTCCGGAAGTGCTGTGTTTCTCCGTATTTCTTGTTTCGCAAAATAATGGGAGATATATACCTGGGTGTGGAATGGAAACCCAGAACCCTAGCTATTTTGTTGTTACCAGTTGGTCTGGACAGTGATAAATTGTACACAAAAGTGCATGAACTTTGAAGCAACTCCGAGGAGAAAGATTAATTCTTGTTGGTACGATTTTGATTTCTTTTTATGATTGAGTTACGTTTATTGTTGATGCATGTTGAAAAAAATAATAATTAGGTAGAAATAATCCTTCGTGATTTTTCTTATGGTCACGGTTCTTTTTCAAGAGATAACTCTTTGAATCGGGTAGTAGTTTTTTTTTCTTGTAGGTTGAAATTTTAAAAAGTTTTGGACTTTTCCTGAGATGGATTTCTTAGACAGTTTTATTGAGGGTTTAAAGTCAAAAGAAACAAAAAGGTTTTTTTTTCTTTTTGAACTGATAATGGAATTGGGAGAACTTTAGTATCTATGTATTTTGAGATGTTTTATATCGGAGATTAGGGATGGAGCATTTGAATTAAGTATTTCATTCATGATCTTTGTAATTACATGTCTTGAAAATACACGAGAGTTTATTTTGACACCAAGACTCATCTTTCGACTCTTGTGATTAATTTTCGTGTGCTTCAATTTTATGATGACTGTGCTAGTTGTTTTAACTTGGGAGTTGGGTTTGAGCCGTTCTGAGTGAGTCATGTGCATTGTGTGAGGTGAGATTTTGATGTACTCTGTGTCATCCTTCTTAGTCTAGAACTTGCCCCGTATGTGAATCTAAGCGAAATGATTAAGTTTTGTACGCTTGAGAAGTGATATAGGCATTCTTTGATTGACCATTTAGCCTATTTTCCTACCAATGTTAATATTATCCGTAGTCAACCCTTTTGAGCATGTAGACCTTTTCTTTAGCAACCACATTACAAGCCGAACCCCTTTTGTTCTTAGTCAAATCTTGTTGAACCATCTGCATGACTTCATGCGTTCCCTTTATGGAACTATCTCCGGCCGGCCAACCGGCGCGTATCACTCAACCAAAAGACCCCCCCACAGGCACAAGGCCACCGGTGGGTACGAACACCACCTGACCCAAAAACTTCTTACTCTACTGCTGTTATTGGAACTTCCAGCTCTTGCAATACAACCACCACCAACACAGTGGTTGCAAGACAAATGACCCACAACGGCAAACCGACAGTTGTCTTCAAAGCCTCCGACTACTATGGGGTAATGGCTTAGGATTGCAAATGGACACTGGTCGGAAAATTCACAATGGGCGGACCCAAAATTGAAACTATTAGGGCAGAATTCATAGAGCAAATTCCTCCGAAAGGAAAGGTAAGAATTGAGGCTTATGATTATAGACATGTTTTCATTGAGTTTAACAATGAAACAGACTTCAACACTGCCTATTTACAACGATTCATGGGAATTACTGGAGCTTTAATGCAAATGTTCAAATGGTCCCCCGATTTCGACCCAAATGAAGAAATGTCATTGGCCCCTATATGGGTTCTATTATCAGAATTACCTTTCCATATGTTTAAATGGGACTATTTAAGACAAGTATTAGAATAAATTGGCACTCTAATGAAGGAGGACATATCCCCTATTGCGAGAACCAGACCACACATGGCTAAAGTTAGGGTTGAAGTGGATTTGATGAAACCTCTCCTAGATTCTGTCTTCGTATGTATTGAAGGAGATACATCAGGGTTGAAGGGAAAAATTAGAATACGAGGGAGTTCCAGCCTTCTCTAAAACATGTAAATTGTAGGGCCGTGATTTTGAAAGGTGCAAGGTTGAGGCAAGAAAGAGGGAACAAACTAGAGCTAACAGGGACAACCATGGCTGGAACATTGAGCTTCTCCAAGACACTATGCCACAGAGAGTTTTAGATGAGATTATGAAAATCAAGATTGGTCGTAATCAAATCCAAGATCAAGCCATCTGGACCCCCAACCCTCAAGGATCATTTACATGCTCCTCTACCTATCAACTTCTGAGGAAAAAAAAAAGAGAAATAACCTCAACTAGCCAAAATCTGGAATAAGCATGTACCTCCTTTGCAACATGGAGACTCTTGAAAGGCAGGTTACCACTAGATGACATTGTTCTAAATTTTAGTACTAACATTATTTCTAGATGTTATTGTTGCAGGGTGCCAGAAAATGAAACTATGGACCATGTTTTTGCAAATAGCAATACATCAAAGAAGGTATGGAACACTATGTCCACTCCACTAGGATTCCAGACCACGGAAAGAAACACTCTATGCATCCTAAATCAATGGTGGAGCAGACAACAAAAAAATAATGTACATAAGTTTTTGATATGATATCCATCTCATTCAAATGATTTGGTAGCCAATTTTGTTGACTTGGTTTGGTTTGATAGCCAACCTTGTTGAATTGATATGATTTGGTAGCCAATTTTATTGACTTGGTTTGGTTTGGTAGCCAACCTTGTTGAAATTGTGAAAAGGGTGTGCAAATTGTCAAATATTGTAGGCTTTAGAGAGTGAGGTTTTGGCTATAAAAGGAGAGCTTTAACTCTTATTTCTACACACCAACAAAGAGAGAAAAGAGAGAGCAAGGTATTCCATAACTATAAGAAAATAGTTTGTAAAGAAAAATAGAGTGTGAGAGATATTGTAGTGAGGTGAAAAAAGCAAAAGAGTGTTTATTTTTTTTGAGGGTGTAGTGGTCTTAGGATTATTTTTACTCGTTACTACACAGTGTAAAATTCCTCGCTATAGTGATATCAGTTGCTCTTCTTGGCCGTGGTTTTTTCCCTTATTAAGAAGAGTTTCCACGTAAAAACTTGGTGTCATTATTGTTGCATTTCTATTCTTGCTGATTTAACCATAACTTAGTATTCTGCGTTTATCACTAATACCGTGAATACTATTTTTACGGGGTTTATTCCCAACAAGTGGTATCAGAGCCAAGGTTCTGTCTGAGTATGCTCTGTGATTGCAGCACAGTCTGAACTTCCACATCAGAAAAGAATTACTTTGGTCTCTTAATAAATAGTATTTATATTTGTGATAAACGATGGAAGTCAACACTAGTAGAATGGTTACTTTGAGTGGCACAAATTATGCCATTTGGAAGGGCAAAATGAAAGATTTGCTCTATGTCAAGAATTTTCATCAACCTGTCTTCGCCACTATAAAGCCTGATAATAAATCAGATGAAGA